CCAGCACTTTGGGAGGCCAAGGTGGGTGGATCATGAGGTCAAGAGATCAAGACCATCCTGGCCAACATGGTGAAACCCCATCTCTACTAAAAATACAAAAAATTAGCCAGGTGTGGTGGCGGGCGCCTGTAGTCCCAGCTCTTCAGGAGGCTGAGGCAGGGGAATCACTTGAACCTGGGAGGCGGAGGTAGCAGTGAGCTGAGATTGCGCCACTGCACTCCAGCACTCCAGCCCTCCAGTCTGGCAACAGAGCAAGACTCCGTCTCAAAAAAAAAAAAAAACCAAAAGAACAAGTGCCTGACACCACGTCCAGCTAATTTTTATATGTTTTAGTAGAGACGGGGTTTCACCATGTTGGCCAGGCTGGTCCCAAACTCCTGGCCTCATGTGATCCACCCACCTCGGCCTCCCAAAGTGCTGGAATTATAGGCATGAGCCACCACGCCCGGCCCCAAGCCATGATTTAAGTTTTAGCTACATACTGCTGCCTCTTGAAAGCTCTTAACCTGGGGTTACTCTAAATGGAGATTAGTGTGGAGACACCAGTGCCAACCTGAGGACTTATTTGATCCTTGATGCAGTTGGGGAGGAAAGAGAACTGGAAAAGAACTGTCCTCCTTCCCGATTCCACGTAGGTAACGCCTGTTCTTGTCCTGCAGAAGCAGCCTGGACTCCACCTCCCCAGTGGGTTTTACAGTCCCATTTGCCTGAGGGCATTCTCATCCCTGCTCAGTGTGCTTGGGGGCTTGGGAGCCGCTGGGCTCCGTATATGGTGCTGCACAGTCCTGCCGCCCGCTTTGGGTGGACCCAGAGCCCTGCACCCCCTGAGCTGCATCCCTTGGTTGCCTTGTAGAGATCCAGGTGATGATGGGCAGTCTGGTGTACCTGCGGCTGGGCTTGGAGAAGTCACCCTACTGCCACCTGCTGGACAACAGCCACTGGGCAGAGATCTGTGAGACCTTTACCCGGGACGCCTGTTCCCTGCTGGGGCTTTCTGTGGAGTCCCCCCTTAGCGTCAGGTACAACCTAGCCCTGTGAGGACAGCACAAGTGGGAGGGTGGAGAGGGAATCATCATTTTGCCAAGGCCCTGCCATGTGCCAGGAACAGTGCTCGGTGCTTTCAGAGACTGAAACTGGCTTTCTTAGTCATTCTTCAGGAGAGGAATTACCTGATTTTACAGTTAAACTGAGACTAGGAAGAGTTATGGCCCGAGGTCACCATGAGGTCAGTGGCATGGTCACGGTTCCCATTTTGTAAGGTCTCCTGAATGAGGTCCCTGCCTCTCTTGCACCTCACCCTGGATCACTGCAAGACGTTCCCAGCTAGCCCACGCCCCTCTGCAGCCTGCCTTCCTCATGACCTCATGTCTTCAATACCACTTGCCTTCAGGGGAGATGTGAGTGGTTGAGTAACATGTATTCAACACTGCTGCTCAGACACCTCCCTCACAGCTCAGCAACCCTGGGAGGGACAGCCACTGTTACCCTCATTCTACAGTTGGAAGAAATGGAGAGTCAAGATGTGCACTCACTTGCCCAAGGCCTCACAGGGAATAAGAGGCACTTGGACCTGACCCCAGAACCACACACTCTACCACAGTGGACAGTTGTTACTGTGTATTTAGACTGTTTATGGAGTCTGAATACAGCAGCTCAATATAGTGGACTGATTCCACGCTCATCTAATTTGTGACCGTGGATTCAGGTTACAGAATGTTATTTCCCAGCAAGAACAACATCAGCACCTTAGGATGGTTGTGTCGTGCAGGACTACCCTGTGCATTGTAGGGTATTTAGCATCTGAGGTTCCAGCCAGTAGGCTCCCTTCCCCATGCAGTTGTCATGAGAACGGAACCCCAGCCTCCACTTGTTAGGCGGCCTAGTTGGTAGCCACCATTATAAAGATGTATTATGACTACACAGCAGGGTGCATTCTATAGGCAGGCTGGGGCCCTTTGGAACTGCTCACTGTCCCCTAGTCACACCAAGGACTTTTCAGTCATTAGGATGAGCAGATATCTGCCCCGAGAGCTATAGGAAGTCTTCCCTGTAGATGCTCAAATTTTGGGGTGCATTAAAATGAGTCTCTAGAGTCAGACACACATAAGTACATATGTGGCACCTTACAAACAATGTGAGGGATCTTTGAGGACCATGCACCATTTTGGAGCCCGGTCTCAAGGTCCATGCTGAAGCATGGCGTGCTGGCCCTGTTGCCTGTCTGCTGTGGTCTGAGCCACTCTAGCCTCTGTTCCTTGTCTGCAGCTTTGCCTCTGGCTGTGTGGCACTGCCCGTGTTGATGAACATCAAGGCTGTGATTGAGCAAAGGCAGTGCACTGGGGTCTGGAGTCACAAGGACGAGTTACCGGTGAGGCCTGGCCTGGGGAATCGTGGGCAAGAGGCACTGGGGAGGACAGGAAGTGGAACTCACCTCCTTTGCTGCCCTTCCCAGATTGAGATTGAACTAGGCATGAAGTGCTGGTACCACTCCGTGTTCGCTTGCCCCATCCTCCGCCAGCAGACGTCAGATTCCAACCCTCCCATCAAGCTCATCTGTGGCCATGTTATCTCCCGAGATGCACTCAATAAGCTCATTAATGGAGGAAAGTAAGTTCCCTGTGCTCTACTCCACCTTGGCTTGGCTCTCCTACTGGCCACCTCTGAAACGTTCTTGGTTCTCCTCCCTTTACAGGCTGAAGTGTCCCTACTGTCCCATGGAGCAGAACCCGGCAGATGGGAAACGCATCATATTCTGATTCCTACCTGGAAGGAATTTTGTTGAAAGGGGTTTTCACCTGTGAGCCTTGGTCTGTCTCAGTAGGGTGGTTAGCGTCAGTGGACTGTGGTTGGTTTCAGAGCACCTGGCTGAGGAGTTCCGCTGAGGGGAGGGCTGGAGCAGCCCTTTGGCAGAGACTGAGGAGGGAGATGGACCAGCCCACACCTGGCAGCTGGCTCCATGGCATAAGGAAAGGGAGATGCTGGCCTCTGTGCTCCTGCTGTCTCTTCCTGTTTTTATTTGCCCTTGACTTAGTAGCAGCCGACAGAGTGGCAAGGCACTTGGTCTTCAGTAGTAGACATCCTTCTACCCCTGCCCTCAGCCAAGTCTCTTGCTGCCATGCCAATGCTATGTCCACCCTTGCCCCTCGGCCCAAGGGTGTCCAGCGGTGGCCCACCTCTTCCTCCCACTGTACAGCCTCAACAGTATGTACCATCTCCCACTGTAAATAGTCCCAGTTAGAATGGAATGCCGTGGTTTTATAACTTTGAACAAATATATTCGCTGCCCTTCTCATTTCTCCTGGCCAACCTTTAGCCTCACAGACAAATTATGACCACATGTCTACCACACACAGGTACTGGGCGCGGCCTGGTGGCTGCTGCACACAGAAACGTGGCCAGCAGGTGTCCAGTGTCCAGGCAGAAAGAACCCAGCTTGCAGCCCTGACTGCGGGGAGCTTAGATGTCAGACCCCAGGCAACGTGCTTTTACATATACCCATTACCAGATCTTATTACCTCCATGGGAGAAATCCGTGTAATGGGATTCAGGAAAATGAAATAACTTGCACAACAGGCTCACAGCTTGGAAGGGAAACAGCTTGGAGTTTTAACCAGATCTGACCCTCAAGCCCAAGCTATTTCCAGTTTATTCCAGGGTGCCTGAACTTGGTTGCTGTGTATAGAGTCCTGTGAGTTTACTCCAGGGTGCCTGAACTTGGTTGCTGTGTATACTGAGTCCTGTGCAGGGCCTCTGACAGCAGTAAGAGGCCCCAAGTCTAAAATGTTTGAAGGGATTGGGTTACTAAGGCCATTATGTTAAGCAAGAGAGATAGCCTGGGGGGATGCATTTTAGCTTCATATTCCTATTTAAAATTTGCTGTGTGGGTGGATAAATTGCTTCCATAAGCTTCACAGTGGCATTTAAGGCTCCTGGGGGAAAGTTAGGAATGGGGGTGTTCCTGATGTGGGGGCTTTAGGCTTCCATGAAGTGGGTCTGGGCCCCCTGCCTTACCTCACAGCCCCCATCTACCCTGGAGGAGGGAGTTGAAAGCGCTGGGTAGCAGCAGGATCAGTTCTCAGCTTGAGCCAAAGCACCTGGCCCGGGCAGCTGAGCATTAGCACAGAACCCTTTGAGTCCTTCGGGCTCTCTGGTGAGGAAAACCGCTTCACTCTTCCCGCCCACCAACTCATTGGCCCAACCAGCAGCTGCTGCTTAAGAAAACACCCACAGACTCACCACATTTCAGTCTTAGCATTTACTTTCCCCACCCCACTTTCTTGGAACAGCCTTTAGTTCTACAGGAAATGGCACTGATGGACAGAAGACTGGCATTACCTTCATGAAAGGGCTGTTAGAGCTGCCTGGGAAGAAGGCGAGCCTTGGGGAACTGGGAAGATGCAGTCAGTGTGTGTGGGCAGGAGGACAGCCAGTCATCCCGCTGCCAGCCCAGTAGCTCCCAGCGGCAGGTGCCCAGGTGCTCCCGGAGCCCCTCATAGGGGTAGGGGCAGGGACTGCACCTCCTCCAGACACTCGTCGTAGGCCTCCTGGTACTCCTCGTGGGGCTTGACCATTATCACACAGGTGGGGCGCTTGGAGCCTGCAGCTGCACCCAGGTCCTACAGAGAGGAAAGAAGTGCTGTTTGGAAAAAAGGCTGTGCAACCTGTATGCCAGAAAGTCACCAACTGATGACCCACCAGTCTAATCTGTCCCACAACCATGTTCTCTTCGGTCCATGTTCTATTTAAAAGCATCTTGAATTGGTTGCCATCATTTAAACTTAATCAGACTTTCAAGGCATGGTCTAGCCACACACAGCCTACATTCCCACATGACAGCTATGAAAGGGCTCCAGTCCAGCAGGGGCAGTCCCGGTCCCTGCCATCCCTCACTTCCTGTGCCTCAGATCTGGCCCCTGCTATGTAAGATAAGGACAGCTAGAGGTCCCCCTGAGCCTAAACCCACCTAACAGGACTAACATGGGTGAAGCATCTTAGCTTACAAAGCTTACTCACATACATCTGTCTCTTTTTATTCTCATAGTCCACAGAGAACTGACTTCGGTTCTTACTCTTAGGCCAAATGGTAAGTTCCTTCAGAACAGGGCCTCTCCCTGCTTTATCCCAACAAGTGATACTGTAGCTACCCAAGATCCACCCTCCAGCCTTTTTTTTTTTTTTCCCCAGACAGGGCCTCACTCTATCATGCAGTCTGGAGTGTGGTGGTGTATGATCATGGTTCACTGCAGCCTCGAACTCCTGGGCTCAAGTGATCCTCCCACTTTAGCCTCCCAAGTGGCTGGGACTACAGGCATGTGCCACCACACCCAGCTAATTAAAAAAATTTTTTTTTGTAGAGATGGAGTCTCACTTTGTTGCGCAGGTTATTCCTGAACTACTGTCCTCAACTGATCCTCCTGTCTTGGCCACCCAAAGCACTAGGATTACAGGTGTGAGCCACAGCGCCTGGGCTAGGATTCCCATTTTACAAGATGGGAACTGAAATGCAAGAGGTAACTCATCTGTAGTCACAAAACTAAGAAGACATGGAGCCGAGAATCCATCCAGGCCTGTCTTAGCTCCAACACTCCTGGCTCTGTCCTATACTCTTCTGCTACAGCAGACGATCCCAGACACCCCAGTGCTGAGCAAGGTCAGGGGGCCATGTGCTCCTTACCGTCTTCGAGGGGATATAGACATAGGGCAGATTTCGGTCCTCACACATGACTGGGAGATGGCAGTATACCTCAATGGGCAGTGTGTCTCCTGCCAAAACCATGATCCTGAAATGAGAGGAAACAGTCATTTCTGGCTTTGCTCCCTCCTTTCAGTTGTAAGTGCCGCCCTGGGCTGGGTCTTAGGGAGAGAGAGAAAACTGTGTTTGGTGAGTGCACTCTTCTGGGGTGATCTCTACCTCTTGGCAACATGTAAGTGCCATCAAAGTGAGGTAGTGCTCGGACAGGTGAAGTACAGGATGGGTGCCAAGGTGTATAAGCTCAGCTCTCTTTGGAGAGTCAAAAAAGCTTTCAACCAGGAGGTGATACTTGAACAGCACGCTAAATGATGACTGTGTCAGGCAGCCCATGGAGGGGTTGGGAGTGGGGAGAGCATGAGGTGGGAGAATCAGAATGGCACCGGAGAGACTGGCAGGGGACACCTCCAAGGCCTTGAGTACCAGGCTAAGAAGCATGGGCTCTGTCCCAAGAGTGACAGTGAGGCAATGAAAGCTTGCCAGAGACGTCTCAGCCAGGGTTCCTAGCTGGCCAGGTGTGAAGACTGGGGGGGCAAGGGCCTCAGGAGCCTGAAGACACAGAAGGAAAAGTCTGCTCTCCCACACTGGGTAACAGGCAGACACACAAGGACAGAGTCCTCAGCTGAAAGCGCTCTTCCCCACACCTAGCGCTCCTCTGCCGGCTCCCCGTCTATTAAGCGCCTTTAACTGTGAGTGTTCCTCACAGCCTTGTCCTCGGCTGCCATCCCCTCGCAGTACCTTCTTCCCGGCTGACCAGAGCCACTGCCGTGGGGTCAAGTGCCGTCTGTGTGCTGAAAACTCCCAGATTTACCTACCATCTCCAGCCTGGCCCTCTCTCTTCCATGCTCCAAACCCCTATAGCCATCTGCGTGCGTATTTGACAGTTCTCCTGGTGGGGGGAGGGGTGGAAGTCATGTGTCTACGGCACCCCAAAACCTTATCCAAAGCCAAGCTTGTGATCTTTCTACACAAATCTGGTCCCCCTCCACTGTTCACATCTCAGATTGGGCCCTCTCTCCCTCCAACTGGGCATGCCAGAACCTAAAAGTTGTCATTACCTCCCCATTCTCCACATCTAAAGTCCTTTCAAATCTGTCCCCTCTAACTCTGTCTCCACCATCACCTCTCCACGACTACAGTAGTCTACTGCCTGAACTTTCCCCAACCTACTCGTACCTCTCTAATCCTTTCGTCAACTGCCAGAAAAATCTTAGGGTGTAAAAAATAATAAAAATTATGTCACTTCCTGGCTTTAACCCCCAATAGCTTCCAAAGCACTGAGTATAAAAACTAAATTTACTGTGGCCTAGAAGCCTCCTAAGAAGGTAGCACCTCTGCTCACCAGACCCTCTCCTGCCCCGAGGCCTCTTTCTTCTGGCAGGATCCTCCCACCGCCCCCTCCAAATTAATCCCTGTGTCTTAAGAGCTCAGCTCAAATGGGACTGCTGAGGTAAACTTGCCCTGAGGTGCCCTCCCCAGCGAGGTTAGACGCCATTGAGCATCAAGTGTGCCCAACATTATTGAGCTCTTGAGCACCCACAGTTTCACTTCTTGGGATAAAGCACAGAGGCCCTGTTCTGAAGGAGCTTACCATCTGGCCTGAGAGGGTGATACAGGGAAGAAAAATGTAAGTAAGTTTCAAACTTTGATAAATGCCATTAAGAAAAGTGGGGTGAAGAAGTACTTCTCATTGCATTCTGTCATTTTTCTTCATGGCTATCACAACGTGTAATTATTTGTGTGTGTGTCATTATCTGATCAATGAATGTCATTGTTTCTCCCACAGCACAGTGCCTGAAAAAGAGTATACTCAATAGTTAAGGCTGCCAGGCGCAGTGGTTCATGCCTGTAATCTCAACGCTTTGGGAGGCCGAGGCAGGAGGATCCCTCGGGCCCAGGAGTTCAAGACCAGCCCGGGCAACAGGGCGAGACTCCTCTGTCTCTGCAAAACAACAACAATCAGCCAGGCGTAGCGGCGCAAGCCTGTGGTCCCAGCTACTTGGGAGGCTGAGGTGGGAGGATCGCTTGAGCCCAAGGGGGACGAGGCTGCGGTGAGCTGTGATCGCACCACTGCACCCCAACCCGGTGAGAGCTAGACCCATGTCAAAAACAAAAACGTTAACGCTCAGCTCCTTAAATACAGAGCTGGAGAAGGGCCATCCCTAGGACTGAGATTCAGGGCTGAGGGGATTAGGGCGGAGGCCCGAGGTAATCTGAGGCAAGGAGCGGAGCCCGAGGAGGAAGGTCCCTGCATTAATGAAGGTGGGTCTACCCTAAGGAACTTGGCTTACACGATTCGCTTCACTTTGGAATTCACTTTGAGCTCGTATACGTGATGTATCGGTATTGTACCAAAGGGACTTTACCGACTGCTTGATTGGCTTCTGCATATGGGGCTAGGTCAGAGTCAACCTTTTTACTGTGCACCTACTAAGCAGAGATTTCTCCGTTTACGTTTAGAAATGCAAAATCTAAAGGAGGGTTCTTACCCTTTTTCTCCTTTGTTGACAAATTTCTGAACTTCTTTCACCCCGCGCCGAATCTGCT